TGAATGAGAAATTCTAGAAGATATCCTATATTATGATTGCATAATGACAAAAATATTGAAAATTGAATTTTCAAGCTATATGACCATATGTGATATAATGCTGCTCTATAAACAAATAAAATAAGCTTAAAGCTTTGTGATTAAAAGTCATAGAAGACGAGATGGTAAATAAGACTTTGTCTAATTCTAGAAGAAATATTTCTTGAAATAGAAATATCGAGAGCATTGAAGTACTAGAAGTATTCAAATTTATCATCCATAATTACTCAATATCAAATAGAAATTGAGTTAGAATTTTTGGACAGCATTATGAATCAGGATATATGACTTGCATGTGTCGTACTCCTAAAGGGATCATGATTACATATCACAACTATGAAGTGGAGCATGCATGAAGCTGCTAAATGTCAAGCATAGAAGATAAGACATGTAAGAATAGATAAGGATTAGAATATTTAAAGGTTCCCTTGAAGAGCTTAGCCATGTGCTTATAGACTTGTATGTCTTTAAACTTACTATCCTAAAGTATTAGTAGTAGTGGTGATGGTGCTTTAAGTTTTAGTTCCCGTTGAATTAAGTGGATTATGTAAACTCATAGAAGAGTTAATGGTTACTTTATTAGCTTGAAGACTAATATAAAGCATTTATATATTCTTAGTTGCAATTCTTACTTGCAGTAATATGTGTCAATCTTGCATAGAATAAATAAGTTTTATATGTTTCGCATATAAATAATTGTCTATTTTTGCCTATCTAAATAAGTTTGCAATGATTTATCCACAAAGAAGACTCAATTAACCATGAATGTTATAGTTCTTTGTGCGCTACTAACATGTATGTAGAAGGAAAACTTGATTTCCTAGAAGCACATGAACAATTGGACTATACTGGCATATTAACTAATCTTGGAAGGATCCATTTGGCCAAGAAATAGTATAATCCTTAAACTAAGTATTTAATACGTTAGCCCAAAAACTAGAAGTTTATGTTTTACTCTGAATATATAGTTGTACACTAAATAGTACACTATATATGTGAATTTCATGCTATAATCAATGAATACTAGAAGTATGATTGGATTATTTGAAACATTATGAATGATTATTCATAGATGATGCATGAAGCATATTACCACTTGAAGTAATTATGGCATGAAAAAGGGAGCAATTTTGGGTAAAGGCATTAGAAAATGTGGATAATATATATTTAATAGGCATAGCCTTTTTAAATCTATCTTTAAGTGCATGTATCAGGACTTGAAGTTCTAGCCGCATCCTCTCCGGATGAGTTAACTTTCTTTACATTGCACGAATTGCAAGCAATCTTGTAGTTTTGCATTTCGTTGTTATCTGTTACATTGGATTGAATACCAACATTTCACATTTCACATTACACATGAATGTGTATCACTATGTTATGCTCTCGTTGAGCTGCAACTTCTCCACTCCTGCATGAGTATTAGCATAGAAGCTATATTCATAGCTTGTAGCTACTATATTTTCCCCTCATAATTAAATTGGCTAGCTAGCACGCTAGTTCTCGTTGAACTAAGAAATATTTTGCTTTCGATGCGTTGCATGCATAAGCAATACATTGGTCTATAGCCAAGTAGCCTAAGATCAGGGGGAGTCGTTAATCTGAAATTAGGTAAATGGAGAAGTGACCCAATTGATGGGATGAATAATTGTAGAATTAAGATAGTGGATAACACACTTAGATGATTTAGGATTTTTGAAGAAAAGACATTTCGGGAATTTTGCATTAATGGCAATTAGAAATTTCTAGAAGAAATTTCATGTGATTTTGAATGTTGCGTATTTTATACATTTGAAGTATATGGTCTATTTTTTATGTATGAGTAATTGGATCATTTTTTTGCTAAACAATAAAGAAGCTAGACAATGAAATAGTTTTCTAAACCATGATATGTGCAAATTAGGGGGAGAACATCTCTGAGTTTGTAGGAATACTGAACATTCTTAAGTACACTTTATGTATTCTAACTCACTGCATTTAGTGAATAATAACCCCGTGTTAAAATATGTGTGTGAATATTTTCCATAAAACTACAACATAGCAAACATGAATGGGCCTCCAATTATAGCTGGAAATACATGAATTTGAATTATTTTAAGCCCACGATAGGGGATATCTTTTGAAGTATGCTATTAAAGATCTAATATTGGCATTAGGGGGAGAGAAAGCCTATGTTAAATGCCAAATATTATTTCCATAGAAGGAAAATTACCTTAAGAGAAAATTATTCCTTGAAGCTTGAAGCAGGAATAGTATCACACATTAAATCAAACAATAGTTTGACTAATGCTCTTGTGAAGCATGAAGCGGAGCATATGCTAGATATTTTTTAAAATAAGAGGAGTAACTTGAAGTTATAAACCAGAAGTTGTATTTAGTAGTTGTAAACTAAATGTTGTATACTATCAAGCTAAAATCTACGGAGACGCCTGTGGATTCTAGTTTAGTGTATACTTGTTAAATAGAAATAAAATAAAAATCATTCATTCTAATGAAGAGAACACCTCATGAAGAAGGCTAAGCACCTCATAAAGAGGATCATCATGAAGATGAAATCCAACACACTAAGCATGCGCATCATAGTGTTGGGTACGCAGAACTATAAATTATCTCTTGTTTGGGAAATGACAAAGAGATAGAATAATCTCACATTATAAGAGTGTTGGGAGAAAATAATAGTTGTCGACAACGCTACCTCTATAATTGCAAATATTTTTCTTATGAGAACCCAGATCCGAAAAACAAAGTCCATGGCAAAGTCGCCTGTAGCGATTATATCGGGTCAATGAAGAAATCAATTGAGGTTGAATCTCCTACTAAGAAGAAATAAATGTTATGTTATATCTCTGGCAAATGAAATGAAGGAATATGAAATATGCAGTTAATAAGTGGATTATGAAGATCAATATAGTTCTCGAAGAATATAAATCGCAACATATAGAAATTAAATCTAATACCAAGTATTAAGAAGTATAAGGTAGAATGTATATTCCTGTATGAATATTGAAGTCTTAAGAAAAATATGTCCTAAAATGAAAAGAGTCATTGAATGACTTTGCAGTGAATAACACTATTTTATTATGTATATCACATAAATATCTCTCATGTAGCAGAGAATATATCTCATAAAAGAGAAATGCTATTCGCTAAGAATGAGAACATCCTTGATGAAACTAATCCATGAAGAATTTATCAGTCGATTCTTAAATAAACACCATCAATCCCTGAAGTGAATATAGACTCGAGAAAAAGAAAATGAGGAATCCTAAATACCATAGAAGGTTTGAGAATAATGGTGATTTTAGCAATTGAATTATCCCCTAAATGCCAAATGCAAGACTAAATTTATTATTTAGTGGTACAATCAAAGTCCTGAATATTTGTAGAACATATAATTTGAAAATCTACTAAGGAAGAATTATAAGTATTCAAACTTTAGTATAAGTTCAATTCACTCTCTAGAAGATATTGAATATTGTAAACTATTTAACCCCATAATCCTCTGAAAAGGATTTATTATCTTAAAGGATAAATTTTATTTACTTTGTACAACTAATAAGTGGTCATTTATGCATGAAACATATTGCTCTTGTTTACTCATATTATAATTCATAGAAGAATTGTGAGCCAATATTTTGAAAGATATAGTATTGTGGTACTGCATACCATTATTAAGCACATATTTATGAAAAGTGTGGTTTGAACAATGATGTTCAAATGATGGCTTTATGAGGGGAAGCAATTTGATTGAATCTATTTTGAAGATAATTAAAACCACTAGAATTACACAGGATCAAGTAGATCATATTTGCTAAAACATTGAAGTTTATGCATTTATCATGAAGATAAATATCTATTTATGAAGAATACATGAGTAAGAAGGTTAAATATTGTACTCTTTTTTCCTATATGAGTTTTTACTTGAAAGTTTCTCACACAAGATTTTTAATGAGACAATATGTGCAATACAATTAGATGTACTCTTTTCTCAAGAACCGTTTTTTCCCACTAGATTTTTGGATGGAGTTTTTAATGAGGCATGTGCATATCGTGGTAATAACCCAAGAGGGAGTGTTGTAAAACATACGGATTGTTTCTTAGAAGGAAAGGAAAAGGATGAATCCTAATCTTAGTCCGTTTGTAAGTGGACTCTTACCAAACTCTTATGCATTGGCAGAACTATATATACGTGAGAGCTCTATGTTGTAATTACCAATAATTAGAGGAATAAAGAATAGTCTCCCTAATCTCGTGTCTATTTGTTTTTTTACTTTCATCTATTATGTTAATCATGAGAGATAAAGAGAGAAAGGTTCTTACCACTGACGACATGTTTTATAACACGCTTAATCAAAAAGTAATCATGTACAGCCCCTTGGTTTGGAGTCTGGAAAGGGGAGCCGGCTGGCGGCCAGCGAAGTTTCCCTTTGCAGTTGCAAGCCAGCGGGGCCAGAAGTGGCGTCGCCCGCTGCTGCAGTTTTGTCGTGCCCTGGCCCCTACTATGGGACAACGGAACCAGGCACCGGTGGGCCCGGTCTCCGGTGCCTTTGTTCCCATGTTGACCGCACCATCGCATCAACTGAGGCCCCGTTTAGAAAACCAAAAATTTTCAAGATTCTCTGTCACATCGAATCTTGCGGCACATGCATGGAGTATTAAATGTAGACGAAAAAAAACTAATTGCACAGTTCATCGAGAAATCGCGAGACGAATCTTTTAAGCCTAAATAGTCCATAATTGGACAATTTTTACCAAATAACAACGAAAGTGCTACAGTAGCCAAAAGCCAAAAATTTTCGGAACTAAACGCGCCCTGACTCACCCCCATCTCCGGTCTCCCGGCCAGGTGGGCCTCGGCCTCTCCGACTCTTCGTTCCTTCGCCTGCAACCGCAACCCATGTCGGAACCCTCCTCCCTCCGCGTTCAGTTTGATCCAGGAGGAAGGGAACGGGGAGCCGGCCGCCATGGTGAAGGACAGCGCGTACTACGACGTCCTGGAGATCAGCACTGACGCCTCCGTGGCCCAGATCAAGAAGGCCTATTACCTCAAGGTGCGTGCGTGGCTATCCCCCTCCCGGCCTCCACTTGATCAACGACGACGGTGGTTATTTTCGCGCAGACTGTTCCGGTTTCGTGATTTTGAATCTGTTGGCCTTGTTTCCGGTTTCTGAAGGCCAAGCTGGTGCACCCGGACAAGAATCCGGGCAACCCTGATGCCGCGCGCAAGTTTCTGGTACGTATCCATATTCTGCTTTACTACCTCCTTAGGATTTTGCTAGTTCCATTTGGGTGCAGCAGAGGGATAAGGGTGAAATGGCTGTTCCCACTTGGGGTTCAAAACTCAAAACCCACAAAGATGACCGTGCCATTGTGTCTTGCTTCTGATTGCATCCTATTTGGCCAGAGAATTCGCATCGGTGTTGCAGTAGTGTGCAAAAGCTAAACTGTTAGCACGACATTGTTATAAGCTTTGTTGTGTACAGGAATAGCTTTCTCTTATCTCTTATTGCAAAATCTGAATCAGTTGTCCTGTAGATGGTTACCTTGCTACGAACACTGATTTGGATTGGTTGGTTACCTCTTACAAGGAACTAGGCGAAGCCTATCAGGTCCTAAGTGATCCGGTGAAAAAGGATTCTTACGATAAGTATGGAAAGGAAGGACTTCCCCAGTAAGTCCTGAATTTATCTAAATCTATCCTATCTTCATACACTAGTTTCTAAAACACAGGATGCCACAAATGCTATGAACTTTATTTTGGATGTTACATTCACGGTATAGTACCTACCATATCACTGACAGTTAGTCACTAAAATTCTTGCAATGATACTCCAGAGATAATATGATTGATCCAACCGCTGTCTTTGGAATGCTTTTCGGGAGTGACTATTTTGAAGATTATGTTGGCCAACTTGCGCTAGCATCTGTTGCCTCAGTAGAGATTGAGGAAGAATCAACCGCACCTGAGGCAAGGATAAGGATTCAAGAGAAGATAAAGGTACGCTGCTCCTGTAATAAGTTTTATTTCTTAAATCTCCTCAGGCTCTAAAATTACCAAAACCCCGGTGGGAGAGACCGCCCCATGGTTTTGCTTTAATAAGAGTCTAAATAACTTCATGGTCTAGAAAAAACTCTTCAGGCTTGGGAGTTGATGTTCTAAGTGTAGACCTTTATAATCTCATTGGTTTTCAGGACGTGCAAACCGAAAGAGAGCAAATACTTACACAAAGCCTAAAGCATCGGCTGCAACCATATGTTGATGGGAAGCAAGATGAGTTTGGTGATTGGGCAAATGCAGAAGCTCGGCGTTTGTCTCAAGCTGGTAAGGTCTAAGAACCTCACTTTTCATCTCTATATTCAGTCATCTACTCACTAGAAGTATAGGCACTTCATTCAGCTTTGCTGCTACACAGAGACACTTCTTATTGCTTTTTTTGGGAACTCTCCTAATGCTATTTTTTCATGATGAGGGCAAACTGTTGAATTTCATTTCTTCATACCTTTGTTGCATTTAAAATACTTTTTGAACGAATGCATTTAAAATAATTATACCTCCAGATTCTGCAACTATCGTAATGTGGCATCCATAAGGTTCATTTGTGTCCTTTATTTAGGTTTGAACATTATAAATATTTTATTTACTGATGTTTTTATGTGGTTTACTTATATAAATCTTTTATCAGCTTTTGGTGAGGCTATGCTTCACACTATTGGCTACATCTATGTTCGGCAAGCAGCAAGAGAACTTGGAAAAAGCAAACTGTATATGGGTGTACCTTTCATTGCTGAGTGGGTAAGGGACAAGGGCCATCACGTAAAATCACAGGTTAATGCTGCTGCAGGTAAATCCGAGGACAATAAGTCAATAACTACCCCTTTTTTATTAACAATGGCCCGATTCTTCAGTGACTTGTATCCTCCTATAGGTGCAATTTCTCTGATACAGCTACAAGAAGGAATAAAAAAGATTGAAGAGGGTGACAACAAGGAAGAGCAGCTTATTAAGAGTATCGAAGAGAAAAGGATGCGATGCTCAATTCTTTATGGAAAATCAATGTGGTCGATATTGAGGCAACGCTTTCACGGGTCTGCCAAGCAGTAAGCACTTATTCAAATTGCTTCGTTCAATTCAATTAAATATGCATGTATAATTATATTTCCTTTAATATGAATATTCAAGTAGAAAAATGAAGTCTGGCACTCCATGTTTAATCTATGTTTTCACCCTTTTCTCCAGGTTTTGAGAGAGTGTGATATTCCCAGAGACGTACTGAAGTTGCGAGCAAGAGGACTGAAAAAGCTAGGGACGATATTTCAAGTAAGTTTTTTTTAGTCTTTGAGTAATCTCTCGTTTGCGTATCATTATGTTACCATCTCTATGGTTCTCAGGACTGAAGTACGCTACATCATTTTGTTTGAGTACATTATAAACGCCAAATATTGAATCTGGTGTTAATGTATTGTCAATAGTAAAATCAATTACTCTAATACAGAATCCTTTCTCACTGAAGTTATTCTATGCACTCACTTTCAGGGCTCTTTGAAATGAGGCATAATTTGTTGTTACACGACCTATTCATCATGCAAATTAATGTCTATAAATTAATTTGGACCACGTTCATTTTTTTACCAATTAGGTATGAAAGCTATTTTTAGTGACAATATTGCAGCAATTTCACAAACCCCAGGACAAATTTAAACATAATATTTTTTCCTTTGTTTGCTGAATGTACCACTAGTGTCAGAAAACACATCTAGAAACTCTTGAAAGGTCCTTCAGCTCCCTCTTGCTGGGGCATCAGCCTTTTGTTGATTTCAATTTTTGAAATTAATTTGCATGTTTCAGTGTTGTTTTTCTCTCCTTCACCTTGCCCGCCGCTATCCGAACTGCCGAGATGTTGAAATTAACTTGCATGCTTGTAATGTTCAGTCTGCCTTTATTACACTAGATGCTTTGCTAGCTTTCACTTATCAGTTGTTCTTGTTTGTATCCCTTAGCTGTGAGTGCTACTTCCATCGTGAGTAATTTCATGTCATTCCAGTTTAACCAGGTAACAAAGTTGTAATGAGTAATTTGTCCTTTGTGAAATCAGGGAGCAAAATCAAACTACCGTCGTGAAAACAGCCTGCGTGTTGAAGATGACGCGGCAGAAGCCACACCGTCTCACTGAGGATGGTGGACAAATCTGGATAAGATATCATATACTGCGTCATCAGCGTCAGCGTCACCGAGACTGCGTCACCGACCAGTGTGGAAGGAGACAAACAATGCCTGTTTCCAAAGATTTTTTGTACAGGTATTGCTACCTTTTCGGTATCATACCATACTGTATCGCTGTTGTGCACTGCAAATAGTTTTGTTTTGGACGAGAAATAGTAAATATTTGAAGTCGCAATGTGATACATAACGATTTAAGCGCATCATCATCGACTCTGGATGTCATTTGCGATCTGACTCAGATCCTGGTGGATCTCATCTTAAAAAAATGAGAATAAAGTAAAAGAATGAAAAAGTTCTAAACACTTATATTTTAGAACGAGATACTGCAATCGAATTGCCTATATAAACCCTACTGTTTAGAAATCTGGAAAAAAAAATCAAAAATCAAATATCCTTTATTTTCTATTCAGAATTCAGAGTTGAATTTGTTATATAGAATCATTATTAAAATGGAAACGCTAGCGCCCGAACGTCCGGATAGTTGCCCGCGCCTACTCCGCTCTGGTCTCTTGATTCATGCGTCGCCCGCTCTGCTTCCCGCGTCCATGTTCGGACCGCTCCGCTGCCCACGCCGCTCGGATGACTCGGCCCCGTCTCTTCCACATCGGCGCCTCGTCCGCCTCTTCCACACCGCTTCACGTCCACCTCTTTCACGCCATTCAGATGCCTTCCCCGCCTCTTCCACACCGGCGTTGCGCGGCCTACGCCTCCACCCCACATCGACCGCGCCATGGCTCCCGCGCTAGCTTTCTCTTCCTCGCTCAACAACCTTACATCAAGATCTACTTTTGCAACACTCAGATGAACACAATTGCAACTACGTCTGAAACAAATGAAATATTTGGAACATACATTTACAACATAGCCATTGCAGCATATGCAACATCTAAATAAAATACTTGTAACATTCGTCTGAACAGATGAAATATTTTGAACAAACTCTTGCAACGTACTGTATAACCATTGCTACATATGCAACATCCGAAAACTGTCATTGCAACATCCATATAAAACATTAGAGATATATCTCTGAAATATCTAAAACACTTCGAACGCGTTTTGCAAAGGAAGGTCAGGGCGGGTCGCGTCACGGTGCGAGCCGGCGACGCGCGAGCGCGCACTAGCAGTCAGCACCAGCGGCGGCGCGCGATAAGGACCACTGGCACCGGTCTTGGCTCAGCCGGCTAGGCGGCGTCGACAGGAGGGAGGAGCGAGGTGGAGTGGGACGGCAGCAACGAGCGCAGAGTGGGCGGTGGGGGCGCGGCGCGCGATGCGGACGGACGACACGCGTTTAGACGCACGGCACGCAGCACAGATGAGTGGCATGGATAGGTCCGTCCGTTCGGATGGATGGACGACCGTGGCGTATCGTTATCTCGTTATTAAAGATTTGAGACTGAAACCAGAAATGGCGCTGGACTTGCTTACCTCGGTCCTCGGACCATGGCCCTGTTTGCGTGTTCTGAGACCCGGCTTTTTTTTTTAATCTCGAAATCGTGTTTTCTCTCAAAAATTCTCCAGGATTCTTTCAAATTCTCCAAATTACTTCAAGCGAACGGAGCCCATATATGAAGAAGATAATAACGTACTCCTTCCTACTCGGCTATCCCTTTCATTCGCCTTCGCCTAACGTGGCACGCCCGTGACACGCGCCCTTCTCTCGTCATGCGTTGCCTCTCTATGTGGCTGCATGCGTGCGCGCGTGTCCTCCTGCGCATGGCGTCCCTATCGCCCTGTTCCCGGTACATATACTAGACACGAGCGCATTGGTTTCGCCTCCATTCCCATCCGCTACAGCTACCAGACAACAGTCACCAGCACGCAGACGCTCAGCAAGCCAAGAGGGCATTGTCGCTCAGCTAGAGGGGGCAATGGCGGAGTACCAGGGGAGTACGGGCACCCGTACCCGCGCGTCGACCAGTACGGGAACCCCGTGCCGCCGGTGGACCAGTACGGCAACCCCGTCCCGAGGGAGCCACCAGCGTCCGGTTTGGACAGCACCGCTGATCCCCCCTACAGCGCTGGCGACACTGTCGCGGTGCACGTGACGGCGCTCGCGTACGAGGGCATGGTCGGTGGCGGCGTGGGAGGCGCCCAACTCCAGACGACCAGGGAGGAGCACACGTTTGGCCCGGGCGCGCAGCTCCAGCCGACCAAGGAAGAGCACACGACGACACTCGGCGAGAAGCTGAGGCGCTCCGGCAGCTCCAGCTCCAGCTCGGTAATAATAACATGCTGTGCTTGTTAGCCATCGTCCATCGAGCATGTTTTCATGGGCTGCAGATTATTGTTGGTGGCGTTCTGACTGATGTCATTTGACGACGGCAGTCCTCCGAGGACGACGGGCAAGGTGTGCGCCGGAAGAAGAAGAGCATCAAGGAGAAGATAAAGGAGAAGCTCCCAGGCAGCCACAAAGCACGAGGAGCAGAAGGCTGGGCACGTGGCGCCGGCGGCGGCGGCGACGACGACGACGGGGACGCATGCAGCGGGGACGCACGAGAAGAAGGGTTTCATGGAGAAGATCAAGGAGAAGCTGCCGGGACACCACCACTGAGAGCCTGGACCTCAGTATGTTGAGGACTTGGACTTTAGAGGGGTCCGGAATCGTGTCTCGTGCTCGACTTCGGTAGCCTCGATCGCTTGTACCTGGTCATGCTCATGCGTGCATTGGTGTGTTCCGTACTCCGTATGTGTCTACGTATACCTCCTCCGTTTAGGTTTGTCTCAAGAGTTATGTTGGGATCGTGTTTTTGTGTCTGTATAGTCATCTATATGTTGGCTCTTGCGACTTGTCAATTAGTCTTTGTCTCGTATGAACTATGAATTTTGCTTGCATTGCACCAAAGCGCCTCTTGCCTAAGCAGAGTAAATAGAGGCTGGAAACTTCAGAGGCGTGCGATCTTCGTGAGGCAACGGGACAACGACGGGCGAAACTCCGCTCATCGCGAACCGGAAGGAAACGGCACGGGTCCACAATCCACATGGGCACGAGGGCTGAGTGGGCCGGGAACGGTGCCGGGTGACGAAATGGCGGCCTTCGGTTCGGTACCACGATTGGGCTGGCAGATTATGGGTATCCTCCGGGCTCCGGTAGATCGCGAGAAACTCACGGCCCAGGCGGGCGACAGCGGCGCGTGCGCCTGCTTCGCTGTTGCACAGCTCGTACACGCGAAGATTTGCTCCGATCGGAGTTGATCCGTGCAGGCCCGCGCGTGTGCACATCCCCATCGCTAGCACTAGCAGCGAGAGCGAGTTAGCTGTTGCTGCTGTACCGCCCACAGCGTGATCGAATCGAAGAGAATCGCCTCCTTCCTCGACATGTGCAAGCAGCCCCGGTTACACAGTGAGATGCCTGGTCGCCGCTTCAGGACCACGACCATGCATTGGCATCCATCATGTCGCGCCAACCCGCCGCGCCAGTACGGCGGCAGAGCAGCGCGACCTGGCTATGCCGCCGCCGGCCGGGGGTTCAATGCGCGACAGGGCCTGCCCCGCGCGAGGCCCGTACTCCGTTCCGTGCATTCGAATCGATCACCGCGGCCGCGACAAGAGCAGAGAGCAGAGCAGACTGAGGAGCCCCTTGGCCCCTCCCCCGCGCATCGTGGCATGGGTCTTCGGCTCTTCGCCGTCGCGCGCCACTGTTAGGGGACCGAATGGGCCGATCGAGGCCGAACTGTGCCCCCAAATCATTGACTCTTCGTGCTGTCCCGATCTCTCGTCGGAATGCTCTGTAGTCTGCCCCCACCGGCTGGCCCTCGATTGATTGCTAATGACTGGGACTGCCAGTGCAAGACAGATCAGCTGGCTCGGACGCTTTGGCTTGCTCATCTCGTAATTGGTCAGTGACATGCGTGTAAGTGTAACAAAGGAGAGCTGGAGGCCTTGTTCTTGTCATGCCTCGTGCCTGTAAAATGTTCCTGTACGCCTCTATCTGCAGCTCAGCGTCGGTGTGGGGTTGATGACTGTAGTACGCTCTGACGTGCTACTTAAGCCGTACAGTATTATTGTTGAAGATCCTATTCGCCGGCCCCTCTGTTGTGACGGCCGTTATGGCCGTCCCGTTGGGATGGGAAACATGATGCCCACGATGTTCACCCTCCTACGTTCAGTGCTTGTGTCGCTACCTGCGGTTAGATTCTGACGTCAAGCAAGCAGCGCCATCACCATAACTCCGACAAACTTGACGGACTCACATCGTGTCGTGTCGTGTCCAATGTCATGGCCCATCGATTGCTACCAATTTAAATGGAGAAATTTATCTACATGACACTAAGGGCACGTACAGTGTACAACACCGCCGCAAGAATTGTAAAAACACCGTAGCTGCTGTCTGTGTCGTATCAAATTTGTAAAAACACCCCCGCCCCCTTCATTTCATCCCTAACTTACGGGGATTGGAGAGGAACGAGAAGAATTTTAACTCGTAGGGGATTTAATCCCCCTCAATTCCTCCCAGCCCTCTTGGTTTAGGGGCAGAAGGAATAGGGTCTGCATATAGAAAAAGGGTGAACTCCTCACCTCTATTAGGTGACGGGAAGTCTCGTGCTCTCAAGCAAAGTCGTCTGCTAGGGGAGCGTTTTGTTTAAGGTGTCTTGAGTCGACACCATTTGGGGATTCAGTTACAGGTACGCGCACTATGAATCTTGCACACCAAAATACATCCTTTTGTCTCCACATGTGGCTTCTGGGGTCTCTGCCACCTTTTCTAGCCCGAGATGTCTAGCGCGCCGGCACCGGTACATCCCATCGGCACAGCACCGGCTAAGAAGAGCAAGGCCACAGCGTCAGCTAGGAAGAGCAACAGCTCGACAGCAGTGGTGGCATGCACCTTTGGTCACGGCAACAGCGATGCCACAACACCCCTCCATTATGGAAGCAGATCGGCGGCGGCACTCACCCTCGGTGGTCGTGGCAAATGGTGCAGCGCCAAAACCCAACTTCGGCGGTCTCGGCAGTGGGGCTACAATTGTGGCTACCTCCGTGCATGAATCTAGCGAGTTCGATGCATCCCCAATTGATGGCAGACGAGGGTACCCAAGTGCTATAGGTAGGATTTAGATGGCTAGAGGAGGGGGTGAATAGCCTAAAGAGGAGGGGGTGAATAGCCTAAAAATTTTCTTCTACCAAATCACAACACTAGAGAAAAGATGATTAGTATAACAAATGATCCTAATAGCCACTACTTGTTCTAGCTCTATAACAACCAAGCAAGCCCGTACACAATTCTAGTAGCAAGTGATTCCTAGTCTAAATCACAACACCACACAAGCTACTAACTACACTAAGCAACTCTAGGCCTTTGGCTAGCTAAACTAGCGAGCCACTAAGAACTAGCTACTCTACTACTAAAACTACAACTAACTAGAGATCTACCATACCAAATAACTACCACACAAGCGATAGATATGAATGTAAATGTAAGTGAGAGTATTAGCAGCAAACCAACGAGGGCAGGTGATTAACACAACGATTTACCCCTGTGGTATGGTTGCTTGTTGGCGACCTACGTCCACGTTGTGGCGAGTCCCAAAATAATGATCTGCGCGCTAACTAGCATGAAAAGCTAAACCCACAACTTGAGTGCCACAAGAATCAATCAAATGGTGCACTCCAAGTAGCCATGAGCATGGTGGTTCTGAGTTCCCTCCTTATCTTCTTTGGCATGGTGTGATGCGGCCGGCGGCGCTAGTTAGATGTCTCCTGGTGTCTTAGATATGGGCGTCCGTTAATTTAGATTTTTTTTTTCCCTGCAAGTCTGGCTATCCTTCTAGGGAAGCAAGAGAAGGTCGCTTTCTGGTCTTTGTTCTACTATTTTTTTTTGAAAGAACTTGTTCTACTATATTCAATGTTAATACTCCTGCCAGTTATATGCGAACATACTTCCTTTATGAGACAAGTATACATATCTACAATGCTGAAATATTAAGCCAATGAAAAATTATTGGGAAAGTGGAACCTATGTGTGTACATGAAAAAAAAATCTTCATGACCCTCCCTCCTCCAAGAAAAAACAAATTAATGGCTTGTACTACTCCCCTAAATTTCTCATTTAAATAAGACAAGGACTACACCAACGTCCTTTTACATCTACCTAGCTAGTCCATCTAGTCTCGTGACTTGTTGCCATGCATGAGAGGGCGTGTTTAGTTGGGTGAATTTGGAAATTTAGGCTATTGTAGCACTTTCATTTTTATTTGATAATTAGTGTTCAATTATAAACTAATTAGGCTCAAAACGTTCGTCTCGTAATTTTCAACCAAACTGTGCAATTAGTTTTTTTTCATCTATATTTAATGCTCCATACACGTATCGCAAGATTCGATGTGATGACTACTGTAGCACTTTTTTGGAATTTAGGTCCCAACTAAACACGCGCAGAAATATGGTTGCCCCGATGGGTCAGCAAAGGTTGTTCACGTCTTTCTTTAATTGCACTCGTCCTCTCTCTTTCTCTCCCAACACGGCTGAATTATAATACAACATCACCCTATTCGTTTAATCGTATCACCCATGCTTATCTCAGTCATGATATAATATTTTCCTCTCACAACAAAACAACATCAGCTGGCTTATAAGCCACAGAAACGATCGAGCGAACAGGGTGATTCAGTGTCACGGCAATGGTGAATGCATTATTAGGACCTTTTCACAAAAAGCAGCGTGTTGGAGGGGGAAATTAGACTACTACTAGATGCTAACCGCAGCATTAACACCACCACGAAATTGTTGTCCAGAAAATCATTATCACACGTAAACAAAGTAGTTGCAATTAAGAAATTGTTGTCCAAAAATGTTCCTAGATAGTGGCGGTGGATTTTTCCGATTTTCTCAGTTATCCTAGAAAATTGAAGCCAAAAACTGACTTTTTTAGAATATTTCAAGTATTTTTCTTAATATTTTGAAATCTGAACCATATTTCAAGTAGGCTGGTTTCTTTTGAAGGGTAGATTGTTCGTTCGGCCCAGTGGCGTGCTGCATGCATGTCCTAGCGCCCTTTATAGGAAAAGTGACATTTGGGAGGAAGTTTAGATTACAAGCTAACAGCAGCATTAGCAATGCCACAAAATTGATGTTCGTGGAAAAATATAAAGCATCTGTACTCGTAAAATAAATAGTAATTGAAATTGACTGGCATGTCCGATTCTAGCGGTGTAGCTTTCTTCCTCATTGCTTTCGTAAGACACAAATCAAGGAAAACTGAAAACATGATGGCGACCTTGCCTATGCAATTAGTGAGAACCTTCTGTTTTCTACTTCAGAACAGGAAAATACAAAAGGCAAAACTAGTATAGTGTTTTTTTGGTGGTAGTAGCCATAGCCAATAGACAGTGAACTGAGTACAGAAAGTAAGAAGCGTATTCTTACAAAAACCTTAATATAGGAGTAGCTACTACACTGTGTTTACATTTGTATATATATGTATATGCCTTTATTTAGACATAGAGAAAACATAAAAATAAAGATGCCCAAAACACTGTTAAGGTGGAGTAAGGACGACTAGAGGAAATTAACAAAGCACGGTCTCTAAGCTCCCAATTTGTTCCGTGTGAAATGCCTTTAATAATAATACAGTATATATATATATACGGTAATTATACTGCTGAAATTCACAAACTGAACCTTCAGAAGAACTCGAGGTTGAACTCGCCGACCACGGCGCCCCGGCTGATGTCGAAGTCGAAATGCGGCAGGCTCTGCTCCTGCTGCCCGTGGCAGGGCAGCAAGAACTTGTGCTCCTCGAGCGACTGCTCCTCGCCGCCGCCGTAGCCAGCGAAGGGGGGCGTGGCCTTGCTCTCGGAGGCCCAGTGCAGCGGCGCGTCTCCGCCGTCGAGCGCATTGTTTGCCTCCGGCGCGCAGTTCCAGTTGCTGCTGTTGCTGGAGCTCTCGCCGTAGCCCAGGTTCTCCGACACGTCCAGCACGCTGCTGTAGTCCACGAACGCTGCCGCGTCCTGCTTGCCGCCGCCACCAGCGCCGCCCATGTGGCCATACAATGCGGCGCCAGCCGCCGCGTCGAAGCCGCCGCCGAAGCTGTCGGTCAGTGGGAACGGGTCGAACACCTGCTGGTGCTTCATATCGAAGCCGCCGCCATCAGCGGCGGTTGTGGCCGACGGCTTGCGGTCTTGCGACGCCGGCTGCTCCAATGCCGCCGCGTTGGCGGAGATGGGCTTGTGCGTGCTGGGGTCGATGCCGCGCTGGCGCAGCTTCTTCTTGAGGCAGCTGTTCCAGAAGTTCTTGATCTCGTTGTCCGTCCGGCCCGGCAAGTGCGACGCGATCTGCGACCACCTGCATCCGCGAAATTCGTTGATGCCGTTAGCAGTGTCGCCGAACAAACATTGCGAAATCAATCCGAAACGCATTGTGCGTACCTGTTCCCCAGGATCTCGTGGAGGCCGACGATCGCGTCCTCCTCCTGCTGCGAGAAGCTGCCCCGCTTCAGGTCGGGGCGCAGGTAGTTGATCCACCGAAGGCGGCAGCTCTTGCCGCACCTCTGCAGCCCTGTATCAATGGCGGATGACGGTCAGCGCGAGACGACTAGCCTGGGCGAGACGGAAGCAGCAGCAGCAAGATGCATATGCATGGATGGATGAGCTAGACTGCTAGAGGCGCTTGCGTGCGTGCGTTCATGCCTGCGAGCTTGGGCACGGAGCTCCAGCACCCGACGCCGTAGCGGATGATGTGGTTGTAGAGCTTCTCGTCTTCCTCAGGCGACCACAGTCCCTTGCGCAGCTTCTGCTGCTGCGCTGCCGCCGGAGGCTTTCGTGGCGTCCATTCCCGCTCCTGCTCCCGCACGCGTCCGCCTCGCTCCGCCCGACACGGGCGCGGCCGATGGCGAGGAAGGAGCAACGAACGATCTGGATAGCTGATGAGCAGCTACCTGGTCCGTCGTCGGTTTGGGCGCGCGTCACTGCCTGTGCATCTCTATCCGCCGAGACCGGCCGGGGGGTATATATGGGGTAGCGTGCCGACAACTGCGCACGTACGGGGAGGGCCGGCCCGGGAGACGACGCACGCAGCGATCAAGTGGGTTCGAAGCAAGCCGATCGAGCAGAGAGAGAGAGAGCTTGCAGTTGCACTGCAGTGGATTGGAGCTCAAGATACTCCGGTTTGTGGGAGAAGGTGGGATTAAAAATGGTGCTCTGTGCGCGCGGGGAGGCAGGAGAGAGAGAGAGAGACTTTCCCGAGAGAGAGATACACAGCAATGGAGATCCAAGTGAACAGAACAGAGCAGAGCAGCAGGGAGCTCGCTGGGTCGCGCGCTGTGGGCCACGCCGACAGGGAAAGCAAAGGACCGAGGAAAAAAGCTGGGGTTGTTGGTTGAGGATATGGCCAAGATTTTTTTGCCTTGACGGCACACGGTTTATGTGGCACGGTACCACCATTAAACTCCCTCGTCAGGGAGCTCGGAAAAACGCAACCCCTGTACCACGTGCCCGTTCCATGCATCTCGCCACTACTACCCACAGTCACACCAGCAAGCTAATAATCAATCCGGTTGCCACGTCGGTCGTGCCCCAGCCGCTCTTACGACGTCCGTACGCCGCCAGCAGCGTTTCAACGCGGCCGCGCCGGGGGTGCGCACGCTGCGCTAGACAGACGTGGATCGTGCGTGCCCAGCGATGCATCGATCCCATTCTTGGGGTTGCCGACTGTCGCGTCCCATCCTGGTCGAGCGGAAGGCCGGCCGGTCGACGTCGTCTTCAGCCGTGTAAAAACAGAGCCGTTTCCCCCCCGAACGGGATCACTCACTGTCTCCCCGATCCCGATGCTGATGCTGCGCGGTGCAGCCGCCGACAGTAGTATCAGCTGTGGCGTCGGGCGTCGGGCGTCGGCCCTGCGGCCGGAAACGGACTGCAAACATGTGCATCAAACGGCAAGCAACGCTGTCGGTTTGGTATCCCGGCCATCGGATTTTTAGCAATTGTTTAGGACGTGTACTGCACTAGTAATACAGTATTTGGATCTCTACTGCATCGATCCGGTCGACCTC